GCAAAATCCTCAAAAAAAAAACAATTCATTAACTGGCGAGCGGATTGATGACAAATTTTGTTTTGATCCGATCACGTTACACGATCCGAAAACAACTATTTAAGGGGGATTTTGGATACTTTTGGCGACTTTTTATCCGGTATATCTACTGGGAATTTTACGTAATATTCTTATTTTTTTCAGCAATTTTTTTTTATGTTTCTGCATAACGCGATTTAAAAATCAATTGGAATTGGCTTCAGAAAGTGTAGTCTAGAATTTTCTCTCGTTTTGTACCGTATTTTAGCTTGCAAATTAGCTTAAAAATTCCATTTTTTTCACCCAATACTCCGTATTCTCCGAAGAACCATAGATCATACTTTTGATCCCTCAAACTCCCCATTTCCCCGCAAATTTTCGTGCTCAGATGTGTTGCCGGCCCTCTCACGGATGTATGAAGATGTTTTTCGAATACATTATTAATGGCCGTCTGTTCCTGCAATTCATTTCCTCCTTTCCGAGAACCCCGCGCCATTACATAATTTTTTGTTTTTTTGGCCAAAAAACTCTCGAGCGAAAAAGCGGCGGAGGAAGTGCTGGCACTCTGCCATCGATACAGCTTCCCCTTCAAAAAAAACGAAACGAAAAGGAAAATGCCCTCAGGGCGGATCGGGTTTCGAACGATTCGTACGGAAATCGCATGAAACGTATACGCGGCACGTCACGGGTTGTGTGCAAATGGACGTTGCAACGGCCATGAAGGGATCTGAGAGATCTTTGGTGAGGAGTTGGAAAAGTTGGGCCGAAAGTTCCGGGTTACAAAGTGCTGCGAGGAGGACAAAGAATCAGCTATAAACTTGGGTTGTTTGGGATAAAATTAGACGTACTCAACGTGTAAAGCGCAAATTGGGTGAAACTGGCTGAAACTGGGAGCAAATGAATCTCTACGTGATATGAGTGGGCCAATTTTAAATTGGCGTTTCGTCACAAATATTTAGAATATTGGAGAAAATTTGTGGCTGTTTTCTCTTGGCAAGCAGGGATAAAGCCTTGGTTGGTGGTCTGAAAACAATGCTTACACTTTTCTAGATTTTTTAAGACCAATTTGGTCGTCCAAAAATTGCTCCAAAAAAATTTTTGATGTCTAAATCGATAATATGTGGGCGAAATGTCCAAAAGGTCAGGAAATGCGTTGATTTTTTCTGTACGGTGTCTGAGAGGGCTTTTAACCCGCGTTTTATGGAAACTACCTTGATTTTTGTTGTTTTTCCGTGTGAAAATCAATAAATAAAGACTCCAAAAAGTCTCAAGATACCCCAAAACTTTTAAAATTTTTATAATTTAACATCATTTTTTACCCCTTCAAAATTTATTAAAAATTGCCCTCTGGCTGTAACACGAACAGCCATGTGATATGGTGCCAAATTGGGCCTCTAAAAGCTTTCTCTTTTGGCATGATTCCAAGATTGAAGTCTTAGTTAATGGCTTCGAAATGACGCCCGGAATGTCTTGGGCAAACATTTCAGCGGGCCCGAAGTCGTATTTGGGCTACAAATTTTGGAGGAAAAACGTGTTTTTCTCCGCTTTGTGACACTTTTTGGAGTTGTTATTCCGCGACTCTTTTATTAATTGAGTTCTGTGTCGGGAAATTGGGAAATTCGCCTGAGGCATTTAAAAATGTAGAAAATTGGCATGAGGCGGAAAAAAAATTTTTTTGATGATTTTTGACACCATAGTCGTTGTTTTGAAAGTTTTAGTTTAAAATTTGTTCTTTAAATAGCCTAAGGGTTAAGGAGCAATCAAAAAATAAACCAATGTTTACTACGACATAACTTTATTCTTATGTTTTTTCTCTTTGGAATACCAAAAACCTGTGTTACGTTTGCAAATTCATTCAGCGTCTCCCATGTCCCATTCGCCATGTCTGGGCGAGAAGTTTGCCAAAAAAAACCTTTTTTTTTCGCTTGCAGCCCTTTCATTACTAATTAATTATTTATCCAACGACTGATTTGTTGTGCCTCGTGCTTTTTTCGCGAAAAATATTGACGTGAAGGCTTGGGGTGTGGTGGGGTGGTCCGAAATGTCGCGACGAGCGAAAACAAAAAATAACCCCTCAGGGCAAAGGTCAGTGGGGCTTGTTTTCGGATCTATACTCGCCGCTTCATGCCGAGTAAACAATTTAAATTTGACGGAATTCCAAGAACTCGCGGGATGAATGGTCAACTGGCTACTGTAAATTGAAGCTTGAGCTGGCTAATTTTCTATAGTAAAGTGAAAAAGAATCCAAAAAAAATCTGGATTGAGCCAAAAAATCATGAAGGTTTTCGTCAAAAGCGCCAATAAGTATGGTAGGAATTTTGCATCGGCAACTAGCACCGATGGCTTTATTGTATATCCCGCACTTGCCAATGCACTACAACCTTTGCGTAATACACTTGGACAGTGTCATCAAGGTCCATTTTACCCTTAAAAATCTCGTTTCCTTTCTAAAATCAGTTCTTTGCTCAACTTTTTCCTTAATTTCTCCACTTAAAACTGCACCGACGCCCCTCCAAAACCCAATAACTGTGTTTCGCGACCACTTTGGATATTGTTTTTCTGACGAATCTCGACGTCATTCGTCCCGGAGTTCCCACTCGTACTACCAGCATGAAGATCGCAACATTCGTGGGCCAAGGCTTTTTTTGCGGTTTGCAAAAAAAGCGTGGCGCTGGGGCCAAGAACAAGAGGGTTTTGTCGCGAAAAAACCAACCATTAGTGCGTTCTCGTTTCGTGATGAGGCCGTTCCAAAAATGGAGCCGGCGGGCGATTAAAAACGAGCGGAATAAAGTTGCGTTCTTGTCTGGGTTCCGGATTAGGGGTTCCGGAGCGGGGTTTAGTTTACGAGCTCTTCGGTGGTGATAAAATAAAATTTGTGGGGAAACGCTTAATTTGAGGGAGAATTTGGGCCCGAAACTTGCTCCAATTTACCGTATCTTGCCCGTATTTCAACTGGATATATGTGTTATGCCATTTTTTTGTTTTTCATGCCAAATACAATGCCCGTTAGGTGTCTTATAAGAGATCAATTTGCATTTTGAAAACCTCTTCTGTACAAACGATCTGTTTTCCGCGTGAAATGGCGTTGTTTTCTCGCCCAACGCCTGCATCATTGCGGCGTTGTTTTCGATCCCACTGCCAGTCCTAACCCACTTTTTTCATACAATTTACATCAGCAAAACCCGTAAGCCGTCGTATCGTGCGTCCTAAATTTAGCACTCGCGTTATGTTTTCCGCGATTCGCTAATCCGAGCGTGTGCGGGGATCCAGACGATTTTATCCAGTATTTTCCAGACACTGCCCGTAAACAAACCACCGCCGCCGCAAGTGCGGGGAAAGAGGCCGGCTCTGGAGAAGAAGGAGGAGGGAAAGCTGATAAGGTCATGATATTCAGGTAGGCGCTTTGTTTGTAGCGAAGGGGATATCACGAGTGGGGTTATTTTGGGGGAGAAATGGCGCCTCTAATGGCGACAACATTACTTTGGGTGATTTGTAATAGAACTAGGATTGAGCAAACACTGTCTGTTAGCTTTAATTAACAATGAAATCTTTGCTTTGTAACCTGCAGTTTAAACTGTGCTCTTTTTTTCTCGTTCTTCAGTTTGATCTAATCGCCTCATCAAGCTCCAGATCAAGCCTACAGTAATCGCTGATAGCACACCACCCCTTGTATTTTGTGGTGGTTCTTATCTCCCTCCCTGCTTCTCTCTCTTCTGCTAATGTAATGATGGGAGCAAAACAGGGTGTGACCGTCATTTCAATTAAATTTGTCATTGGAATGATGACAATCCCACAACGCCTTGCTTTCTTGCACTGTGTTGCAGAAACTCGCGCCGGAAATGAGTCAGGCTGGTATGAAATTGGTGCAGGAAGAGGCAAACACTCGAGCCTGGAACCCCCTGATAACACCGCATTAAGACCCATTATGCGCGTCGACGGTACTGTAACTGGCGCCGCAACAACACCCCGAACAGCTGGCGGGTTTTATGGGTTTTCGAAAAGGCTAGCCGAATTTCCCTCGGGACTCGGAATGCAAGGGTTTTGTGGGCATTGCGCGGCCTTAAAGAGTGTCCTCCGGCTACTGCGCGCTCTTAATTGGTTTCGCAGCTAGTCGGGTTCATTCGCTAGCGTCCAACTTCCTCATTGCCCGCGGAGTGGCGTGTGGAAAAGAGACATAAAAGGGAAAGTAATCCCAAGATCTCGTTTTGAGTTGTGATCTAGAGCTGAGTCAGAGCTCGTTGCAAAAAATGGAGCATATTATCCATTCGAATGGCTGCAAGTCAACCGAAATGAGGCTGTGACACAGAGCACAAGTCAGATGTGTTCTATGGAACTACATCCCCTATAAAACTGCAAAAACTTTAACCAAAAACATGACAAAGAATCATCCTTGTCGACTAAAGTCTTGCTTCAGAATTCTAAGTCTGTTTCGCCCTTGAAATATGAATATTTTGGCTTTTGTTCGCGCTTTTCTGGTGTTTGGTGCCTTCCGGAAGCGGCTCTCGCGTTTTTCCGCCCCACTCGACAAAGACCTTGTAAATCCTCGCCTACTTTATAGTATACTCACTCTTTCGCAACATTCCGCGAGTCCTCTCCACTCAACCCCGAGCCGTGGGCGGCAGCTAGCGCCGGAGGAATTCGTTAAGGCGTCTTCAAGCGTTTTTTTCTTCCTCCTCCTTCTCGCCGCATTTTCTTTTCATCCGCTCGTCCGTGGCGCCGAAGAATCTTTGCTACGGGAGAATCGCGGCGAAATCCGCATGTGAATGGGCGCTCCGTGCCCCTTCTTCGTTGCCAACGGGGCGAGTCCGTCACGCGGTGCTCTCCAAACATAATTCTCGCGATGACTTCCGAACGTGACTCGTTGGATGGACGGTGCTCGATCCGTGGGCATCCGTGATTCATGCCGAATCTTCGGGACGCTTTATTAAACAAATTTTTGCGTGCTGCAGCGAAACGATGACTGTTCGCTCAGGCGATCAGGTTCATAAGGCCAACGGTCTTAAGACTGCCAAAAGCTCAAAGATCTGCGACCGCAGGGTTCTACTTGGGGTCATGCCGACCTCCGGCTGATTGTGGGAATCGTTTTGTTCTTCTTCGAACCGATCGCCTAAGGTCAAAGCACGTGTTTTGACCTCAGGTCGCGACCTCAGGTCTTTCCCGAAAGCCCCACCGCGTTCATTTGGAAGTCCCACCACGTTCTGATTCATTTGGACCTTAATATTGCCGGAGGGCGAGTCGAAGAGTGCACCATATATCTCGGCGAGTTCCTGCGTCTATTGCTTCATTCACCGCCCCGAAGGAGCGCGCCTGTCGTCGCTAGTGGGGATGTGCGCCTCGGCCGGTGTCGGACCACCCGCACTCGTCCCCGGCCACCTCATGGTGTGCTCGGGATGCCTTGGGGCGATAGCGCGCCATTCCCCTCCACTCACAACGATTTCTTTGTGTTTCGCGGCGAAAAATGGATTTTCGAAGCCGGAAGACCGGGCGAATTTTGCGGTTTGAGCGGTCCGAACAATGTTTTGGCGGTTACTGTAGCAAGGTGAGGGCTCATTCTTACCTGAGGGTTTAATTCCCTCCTATTATTATAAAGTTTTCAAAGCGAGCTCGGGTTAAAAACTCAGGAAGACGTGTTCTTCTAGAAAATTCTAAAAATTTTGTAGGCAGCAAGTTGATCGCTAGTTGGAAAAAAACATCTGTCAGCGATTTCTCGCCTTCTGCTTGGCTGATTTCGAAGATACGCTCCCAATTCCTCCATCTATCATTGAATTAGCGAATTCCTCGCGAAGCGTCCAGCCTTCCTTATCGCGTGATCTCTCGTTGAGCTTCGCTTCCGCCCTAAGGCTACGAATTGTTCGCTCTCCGTCCGATTCTGCCGACTGGCCGAAGGTCGAGAGTGGGGAGAGCGGCGGCGGCGGCGGCGCTCGACGGTGTGTGCATACGCCCTCGAGCGCTTTGCTTTTCTTTCCCCCCACATTTTTTTCGGGGTCCGCTTTTCCATTTCCCTCGAGGCGAGCAGTCATGTGGTATTGAACCGCTCGCGTTTTGCTTTCCACCCCATTTTGTTCATATTATATTCAATCCGATCCCATAGAAGCGAAAACTTTTTTTGTGTGTGTGTGGAGCACTTTGTCGGAGCGTCGAAAATCGACGGCGTTTCGTTGACGTCGCATTCCCTGGAATCAGAAGCGGCGATCGGTCCGCCGGAAACTTCGGGGCGGCTTGCGAAGCGGCGCTTTCGGGGATGGGTGCGGCTTATTAGTAGGCCATTGCGGGACTGTTTTTTGTGTATTATCATCTTCTTTTGTTTTGACCGTTTTATTATGACAGAAGAGGAGTGGGGAGGCTCGGTTGGGGGGTCTTCATTGGTAATTGGGCAGTTATGGGATTGCATTTTGCGGAGCGAGCAGATAAATTTGTAGGCTTGGCAAGATGCCAGCCCGGCCTACATGCGATTTCCTGTCTCCACGAGCACCTTGGTCTACATCTTTTTTTCTCTATGTTAATCCAATTTTCCAATAGCGTTTGCACTATATTCGGAGGGATTGGTCTTTAAGATGTCCTTAGGAACTCTTTGTTGCGTTCTTTTCACTGCATAGCTATTTTTAATGCATAATTCATGCGCTTAGCGGTCCTCGAATCGAACCGTTCGTATTTGCGTGCAAGCTTCGATTCCACAGTATTTGCACGGATCGTTTACCTGTTTTGGCTCTGCAAGTTCTCGTGTGATTTCCTGGGGGAGGAGAAAAACAATTGTGAAGTAATTGGGGGATGATAACAACCAGAGTGCACGTAGTAGAAGTTCGCGGACTTTGTTCGCTTGTTTATCCCCAACTAATTGGTGCAATTAGGACTAAAGTGCAGTATTAAAAACTGCGTGGCTTGCATATTGCGCTGCTGCAGCCACAACTCGAGTTTGAACCACTTTTCAAGTGGTCCAAACTCGGAGGCCTCAGTATGTTCAACATGCGGTGGTTGTGATCTCTGGAAATTGTTCAAAAAAATAGATATATCGATATTGATCTCAAGCTGCGTGCTTTCGCATTGTCCTGAGCCCCGGTTCCGTTGCGTTGCAGCAAATCCATCTCCGTCGTTGGGGGATGTGTAATCTGTCATTATCATTGCAAAAAAGATAGATATTGTTTCTTTCGATTTCCGGTACCCCCCACCACTCTTCCCCCCAAAAAACGACGACGCTGAATGAATCAGGGCGTTGAGTCGGCTTCTGATTCTTCTTGATTTCGTCGCCCCGAACCTCATCGCTTTTCGATTTCCTGCTGGAAGGCAAGAGCCCGACCTCAATCCCATCCCCTTTCCCTTATTGCATCCCGCGAGATTTTCGTCAAGAATTTTGCCGCTGACGTCGGTGGCTTCTGATCGCGTTCTTCAGCGAACCCTTCCGAATTTGGCTAGTTGTTTTGCGGAACTCGTGACCCATTTTGTCGGTGATGATGATGTTGGGAAAAAAGGGGCTTCTTTCACTTCTTATTACTGTGAGATCATTGCGCATTGGTTCGTTATTTTACGGGCGTATTTTGTGGGCAAATTCAACGAACTCGCGAGGGCAATAAAACGCAAGCCGTTTGCTCAGCTGTTTACGGAATTTGGTAATATTTAATTGTTCCTCCTCAAGACCAAAACAAGCTCCTTTTTTCTTGTTTTCGCCCAACTGACCGTCCGCAAAAAACGGCTTGAACTCGAGTTGAGCATGCGACTAGGTTAGGGGCGGATAAGGGCAAAATTGAACAGTTAACTTCACCATGCTTTCGTCATCATCACCTGTTTTTAGCGCCCTCATGCCGCGAAGATCAGTTCATCCGTCCTTTGCTTGATATTTGGTTTGTTTATGGGTTTTTTAGGGCAGGTAATCTCTGATTTTACGTGGGTTTTATAACTCCCGGAAGTTGGCGTTCTCCCAGTTTTGGGTATAACGAGAAGATGGATGGATGACCTCTTTTGATTCTTTTTTTATCAAAGCGCAACGAAGTTCAGTAACAAGTGTTTACCTTTTTACTAATTGCAAAACAGCCGAGATTCTTCTCCCTGTTTTTTGCAGCTCCATTTTATATATAGCGAGGATGCATGATTAGTATATATCACATGAGAAATTGCAAAGAATCCTCCGTTTTGCCTCCCCCTTCCGATCATATTGGTCTCTGTTTTTTTACACACACACACACACACACAACCCATCCATAATCCTCTTCTCAATTTGTCGGATGATTAAAGATCTTCTTCGCCCTCGGTTTATTGGGCGACGAGCTTATTAAGCCGCTTGACCATTAAAGATCTCCCCTCCCAATTCTCCGCGATTTGCCGCGGCCCTGGGCGCGCGTTCGAATCCGCCGTTTCCCCCCGCATTTTCCCGCCTTCTCCACGCCGCTTTTCCTCTCTGTTTTTGTTTTAGCGCGCAATTCGAATCTTGGAGATTGGGGGAATGGGGCAGGCGGCGTTCCACGAAATCGGCGAGCGCGCCCCTGCTGCAGAACGCGCTCGGAGCAGAAAAACGCCGTTGCAAACGGGCCCCCATTGTTTCGCCCCATTCTTCGGCTTGAATTGAAAATAATTTGCGTTTTGTAAAACAATTTTTGTTAAGATTCTCCTTCCGTGGACTTTCGACCTTCTTCCCCACCGCCGCCGCAAAGGCGATGAACTTTAAAAGAAGGGGGGCCCCGGGAATTCGCGTTGTTTCTTCGATCCCGTGCAATTTTTTAATCGAGATGGAATTGAAATTTAACGATTCGAAATTGATAGCCCGAGGGGTTGATTTCTCGATTTGGGGTGTATAAGGGTTGCATAATCGAGAATTGTGACGTTGTCATGATTTTCACATTCTGGTTCCTTACTTTTTTCGCTTTTTTTTTAAACGATGACATTTTGGTCAAAACGGGGGAAAATCGTATTCTTTGGCCTTTAGATGGCCTTGTCTTCTTGCTGATCAGTTCGCACTAAATTTAGATGCTTTTGGCAACAATTGCAAGCAGTTTATTATGATGTGTTCTTGATTTATGTCTCTTACTGTGATAACGTTCATTTCTGTATTCATTGTGTTCTCGACTCATTACCGGCCTCCAGGCGCTCCCTCCTCACCACACCCCTCTCTCTACACTTTAGGCTACATCTCATGACGAGCCGAACACCCCATCATCCCCCAACAACCAGCTGATTGTTGTCGTCGCAGGCCGACGTCGGATCCATGGCGCCGCTCCTTATCAGAGCCGAATCACGTGGGATCACGAGTGTTTCCTTCGCCTCTCCCCACTTACTCTCTCTTTCTGTCTTCTTTGTGATGATGTGCGAATCGGTGGAGTGTATTCTCCCGAACTTCGCCTCCCTCCCCCTCCCCATTCCCCTTCGATGGAATTCTCTGAGACCGTTGTTGTCGCTCTTCGCGGAATGACTGATTATCCCCGCGGTGCTGACGTCGACACGCCTTTCGCTTGATCGTTATTTTTGGTCTTACACGAAACCCATTTTTTTCTGTTGACTTGGCTGATCGGTTATCAAGCGGAGGGTAGCCCGTGGGGGGTTTGTTTTTCAGAGAACTTGCCCTTTTATTCGAAAACGCTTCCCGCCGCTGTCCAAGAAAGGTTGTTGCTGATTTTTTCGGGGGGCTTTCCGTTGATAATTTTGATTATTTTTTTATTACACTACAAATTATTGATCTGGAACGCTGTTTGGCAATGCTGTTTCGACGTTGTGTTTTTCTGGAAGGAATTTTATTTTTGGCTTGGCGTTTTATTCGCTTCAGGAATTTTTTACTATTATTCTGTCGGGAAAATAATGAGTACAATGTCGTTGTGCTGATCGTGTCGCTGAATTGAAAAACAATTTGATTTTACCGCGGCACAATTCATTTTCCAGCGACGATAGAATTTTCAATGCGACAGAGTCCTCATTATTTTCCCGACAGATGATATTCGCAAAAAAAATTTCTAGCACTCGCTAATTTTTTGCGTCTTTTCGCCGCGAACCCGCGAGCTTTCGCCCAATTTTTTTGCGTCTTTCGCGGATTCCTTCGCCCTCGACCTTATCGTCCACTCGGATCTGACCTCGCGCGCCTTTAATGCGGCTGAAGCGCGAGCGATACAGTCACATCCAAGTGGGAAGAGGGGAGAGAAAAGAAAGAGCAAGCAGAAGAAGGCGGCGGGGATGGGAGGGGCGCCGCGATCCGCGACAGGCACTGCCAACATCTTTACAGAAGGAGAGCGAAACCGAAAAGAAAAAAGCCCAAGACAAGAAGAAAGTGGGGGGAGGAGGAGGAGGAGGGGATAAATCGCGCGCGACACTCGCTCAACTACATTGGTTGCACTTTAATTCCTCTCTATTTATTCACATCGTCGCCAAAAGTCCGGTGGAATTTTAGACGGTCCGCGCGCGCGATTACTGTACGCTGCTGATCTTGGGTTTGTCGAGTCCTCGCGAGCGCACCTCATTAGGAAGCAGAGGGGATTTGAGGCGCGCTGGGAAGGTTCTAGATCAACTTGAAGGTTTTGATTTTTTGGAATTTGCATATTTTTTTGATTTGTCATCAAATTAAAACTTCATGAATATTCTTCATCTGAACGGTCAAAATTTTTGCGAATTCAACAATCTCCGCCCTCAAAAAAGTTCACAAGTTTTTTTTCGGCTAGTACAAAGGAGAATCCGTAAAAAGTCGTGACCATCCGGCTCAACCTGCCCCTTTTTTTCTTCGCACGTTGTTTCGATTGCACTTTTCCAGCGAAAAACGGTTGTTTTTGTCTGGCGTTTTTTTATTGTGTCGGCCCTCCCCACTCGTTTATCGTCGCGTATTTGTACAAACTTTTCGCCGTTTCGCCGACTCATTAAGAGAATCACGACCGCCCCGTTCGGAATGTGACACCCGGCTTCATTTTTCCCACCCCTTCGCGACTTTAAAAGGACATACGGGGTGTTTGCGCTGATCGTGGGGGCTTAGTTCGGACACTACCGTCCAAGCGGACCGCTTATGTTTATTTTGGGGCTGATCATGCGTGGTATCACACAGGTCGAACTTTAATCCGGTTTATTGGCTGTTTTCGACTACCTTTATTGTTGTGTTTCACCGCGTTGTCGGGTTGTTCGGTGGCGGGAAGTTTGACGGCAGACAGTTGAGTGCGTGCGTGTTTCGAAACTCCGGTTACGATTTACTTTCTGTTCCCGACGCCCTGCCAGCGTTTTTCGAGAGCGATCCGCGACCCTTGTCCGTCCGCATTTTTTTGGAGAGTTTATCGCAACTCTTGTGCCCCCAACTTTTTTCTCCGCTCCTCTTGTGTGTCTCGCGAGACCCCCGACGTGGTGGGCGTTGGAATGCAACTTTTTGCTTGAGGCATTCCTGCTCTTTCGCTCTCTATTCGCCGCTCTCAGTCGTCACCCGATTTCGTCATCGGGCCGGACTCGCCCCCCTCCCCGCCCGAAATGTCAGGCGGTTCGTTCGTCGGGGGCTGGGCGAGTCCGCGATGTGAGTGTGCAAGAGGGGACTTGAGTGAGAGAGCGAGAGAGTGAGGGAGCGAGAAAGAAGGAAGAAAGAGAGCGAGAGAAAGAGAGAGTGGTGTGGGATATTCGCTTGAATGGATTCGCTCGTATCCTCTTTGCGAAATCGCCCCCCTGCCTTCTCTCCACTCCCACTTCCTTTCTTTCCCCCCACTTTTCGTGTCCTCGCTTCGGCGGGAAGCCGCCGATTTTTTTCGAGCGAGCGATTCGGCGCCTCCGACCCCACTCCAGACTCCGCCCACAAATTTCTCTTTCGGCGCTCCCCTGCCCCCGCCCCCGGCCCCATCGCTCGTCCGGACCGCCGCTGTCCGTTTTCCTCTCCCAACGACTGCGTTGGGCGGCTGCGTTTTGCGTTTCGGGGTTTTAAACGGAGGGCGCCGCGAGCGATCAATACTTTCCCTAAAGGCCCAATTCTTTGCCAAGTTTTTGGAATTCGAGCCGCCTTTAAGAGGGTCTATGATTACATTTATTGGATGATCAATTTTTTACGCCGCTAATAGCCATGTGAGTGCGATTTCAACGAATTCCAAATGTTTGATTAATTCCTTGCCAATTTCTCCACCACTTCCATGCTTCCAAATTAATTGTTTGAAATGGGTTTTTTGCCGCTGAAAAAGGGCACACGTTTCGGGGAGCGGGCGGTTTCCGCTAATTTGAAACATTTGCCAAAAACATCCGGCTCACATAGTTTTTTCCGCATTTTCAAACAAGCCGTTCCGTTTCGCCCCACTCTTCATGTGTGTGTGTGTGTGTGTTTCAAAAAATGCTGAGGAATTCGTTTGACGTAATTCGCACAACTCGTGACTCTCTTTTCTAGTATACATAATTCGGGGCTGCTGCTGGAAAAGCGAACTTTTGTTTTATGAGTGATTGGCACACCACTTGTTTTTTGCGGTTTTTGGGGGTGTGGAGTTGGCCAAGGAAATGCGGAACGGTCGATTATGTGATAAGGCGGCTACTTCCTCGGGTCGAAAGGTCGGCTTATTCGGCGGGGATTTGGGGTGTTTCAAGTCTGTACTTCTTTGACTTTCGATATTTGTTTTACGTTCCTCTCCGTTTTGCTGGCGCCGCCCAGCATGTCTGATTATGATACTTATCCTGCACTAGTCCTTAATTTGAGGATTATTGTTGATTAAAAATTCTCTCAGCCCTCTACGGTAGCCTCGTGCCAACAATAATGGAGAGGGAGATAAAAGGGCATGATGATAAAGCGGTTACGAACGTGGTCCGCGTTTACAAAGACCTCGTTGGGAACTTCGGATGACAACGTACGAAGGAGTTGTTTTTCTTCCTTATTAACCGCGCCCTGAGGGCAGCTGAATTCGCGGTTCGCACGTGACTGTTTTTCGTTCCTGGACTGGTAACAGACACTATGTTTTCGGCCTTAATTTGCCATTCAGTCGCAAAAAACGCATGACGGCCGCGTTCCTGTTATATATACACCTTGCGCTATTCCGGGGCCGGTTCTTATTATTCAGCGTTTCGAACCGCTTTTTATGCACCCATTAATTCTCGGACATGTGATAAAGACTATGTGGGTGTATCATTTTTTTATTGTTCTTGGAATTACCTTTATATTGTTTGCGGTTTCCGTGATCGTGCGTGCGTGAGGAAGTGATTCCTCTCACCCATCTCCATCATTAACCTAATGTTTTTTTCTTGCAGGACAATTACCGCCGCCTCATCGACGGATCCCCGGAATACAAGACTACACACGTTTTTTGTCTACAATCATCATTTTCGCCCGCTTTTTTACATGATTCACACGCCATGTGGGTTTCCATCCTAGTCGATGGAGTTGGGTGCGGGGTCTCGTCGGCGTTCTCGCCGAACTGATTTCCCAGCCTATTTTTGGGGGCGAACGCGCACAACTTTTGTGTGTTGTTTTTGGGTTCAGAATCAGCTGACCGAAAATTCTTTAAATTTACTACGCCACTGTGTTTTGATTCGGCGTTTACAGAGCCTTCGTACGTGTTTATTATGTTCTCACCTTATGTTAGGAACGTTCTGGCAGAGATGCACGTACTTTTAACTCGGGAAATATGTAGTTTCATTGGGTTTGAGTTATGCTACCACGTGATTATATACTTGTGCTAAAATCCTCCCCGGGGTCTCGTTCGGGTTCTACCTATACGAGTGGGGGTTTGTGAACAATTGGTATGAAGGGAGTTTGTGGCCTTGTAGTTTAGACGTCATTGATCCCAGGAATCCTCTCCCCCACTCATCGAAGGCCTCATAAGCGCTATCCCCGCTGATTCAGAGAGATTTCAGTCATCCATATCCCCCATTTTCGCTTCCTCCTCCTCCACCTCGCAGCCTACCTCTTCTTTTATTAAAACCGATCGCGAAACACATGACTTGCACTGTAAAAACAAAAGAGTTTCTTGTAAGGTCCAATGTGATGTCCTCCACCTGTCTGTCTGCGCTGGTGGGGCTGCAGCGCGTCATCGAGCCTCAAGCGGTTTTTGTTTGCGCATGCGACCGCGCGCTCCCCCCATGTTTCTCGTGTTTTTTTCGGGGCGGTGGAGAACACACAGTTTCGGGAGTCATGTGAACAAGTTCGTTTTCGATGTTTGATTCAAGTTTGTCGGGTCGTGGCGGACGTGCGGATGCCTGGAGACCTCAAGTCCAGTGGGTTTTTCCACGAGAATCCGAGACGTTTTTTCGGCGGGCTCCTTATGGGATTTCCAAACCTCCAAATTTCCACGTTTTCGGAATCTGGACGGCATGCCGAGCACGAGACCGGCTGACTCAGCCCCCATTTTTCTCCTTACGCTTTGTCATCGGGTATTTATGGGGTGTTTTCCGGGCAGGCTCGCTCATTTGACGTCACTTCTTTTCATGAGTTTGTTGTTCTAGGATATGTTCGCCGGGGTCGTTCTGTCGTCATTGTCCACGTTTTTTTCGCGCCGCTCACGAGGCCCCCGGTTCGCCCCAAAAGGCGCCACGTCTGACTGACAGTTGTTTTTTTTTTCGCTTCGTACTTTTGGGCTTGTCGTGTTTCCGTATGTCAGGCGCGGGTCACGTGCCGTCTGTGGGAGCGAACGCCGCACGAGCATGTCATAAGGGGGGCCGGCGCGCTTTCCGCAGGGCATGTACCGGTGCCCTTGTTTGTTTTGATGCACACTACAGGGGCTGCACTTTCGGCATTTGTTGTTTTGCAGGTCCATCTCGTGGTCCTCGGTCCGCCCAGACGTCCTCGTTTTTGGGGTTGTTTTTGAACTCGTCTGTGCGAACAATTGCCGGCAACAATGCCCGCACACAAAAAATAGGTCCGCGAAAAAAGTTCATTAGCGTCCACGCGGACTATTCATGACAAACAAGTTGTTTTCCTCCGTCACGGCGCCAATTTGCTGCTGAAACCCCCCACAAGTCAATGTACATTTACGGCGTTTCGCGAGCGCGGCCCGGCCGCTCTTGGCCCGCCGTCCAGACAGGAAGGGATTTGTTTTTGGCCCGGCTTCAAATCCGCCTCGTGAGTCCGCTTCCTACCCGCCGGCGGCGTTTTTTCGGTCTTCTCGGTCGGGCTCGTCCTTTTCGTCGTTCCGAACGCCCCTCCCCACCCTACCTACAATATGCGTCCGCGGCTTTCGGGAGGAGGAAACGCCGGGGATTTGCAGACCATGTGCATAAAAAACACCTCTTATTTCAGCGAAAACACCCACCGACATATATTTAACAGGCTGTCCGTCGTGCCTGAAGGGGCTTTTTTTCGGCGGGGCGTCTCTCGACCGCTGTTGCGGCCTCGAGGCGCCGATTCGGCGCCCGATTTATGCACAACCCCCTCGCCGCCGTTTTCATGGCATTTGGAGGAGAGGGCTCCAATTTTTCGAGCAAAATTCGGCTAGCGAGCTGAAAAAATTCATTCTTTACATTGCTGACGAGAAGCCGTCTCGTTTGCTTATTTCTTCACGATCTATTTCGGAAATCCATCCTGAAATCCAGGCGTTTTTTGAAGCCGTCTTGTGACCCCTTCTCCATCTTTCCGCCGGGCATATTGAATTCCACTTGGGGAGTTTCGCAACGATGACGTGGAGATTTCAGCCCGCCCTTTTCGCGGGTTGGATGTGACATAAAAATTCTCTCGATTATTGTTTTTGTTCGTCTGGACGTTCACGTGGTTCGACAGGATTAAGCGGTTGTAAACGCGCTGTTTTTTGGGCAGTTTCCTCGCTTTTACAGCGGTTTTTTGGGCTGCTCGTAAAGGCGATGCCCTCCGGTTGCACCTTCGTGGTGCATTCGGCGGTCTGCATGGAGCAGTTCGGCGATAAACACACGTTGTTTTTGGGCGGGCGAGGAGGAGCGTTTAGAACGGTCTTTCGGTCTTGACCCCACGCCAATTCATAAAATATGAAGAGGGGGGTTCCGCGGTCGCTCGCGGCCTCGCAAAAACAATCGCTTCTGATAATGTGAGTGATCAAATGAGCTGTTTACCGCATTCCACCCGGCGCCTCGGGAGAGGCGGGTCATGGAGTCAATTCATATCGCCCTCCGGACCAATGGCGAGGGGATCACGTGTTTCCGTTTCCGTATTTTCCGCAATTACTCTTCATTTCCCCCCTCTTCATCTGATTATTCTTGTGCCTCCGGGCTTTTTGGGGGGAGCGCCGATTTTTTTCGTTCTTGTGTCGCTTTTTCTCTCCCATTCTTGTGGAGTTTCTTGTCCATTTTAGCGCGAGGGGAATTTGATACCTCTGTTTGCTCACGAGTTACTTTCGAGCTCTGTCCGTTGAGGCCTTAGGGTACGCGGTGGAAATTGGCCAAGTTGAACCCTCGTGTAAACCCTTGCAAACATTATGAATCGGGAATTGGCATGAGAGCGGAAGAATGGCGGGTTAAAAAACGCCTCGTGAGCCGGAGGGTCCGTTGGGAAAAATGGTGGGGGAGGGGTTTTGAGGGTGTGTTTTCGGCAACATGTCCAACCGGACCAAACACTATTTTCCCGACCTTTTTTTGGGGGCCGCTGATTCAGTCGGACGAGTTTTTTTTTTTCTTACGGCGCTCTTCGTCTGGGGGGTTTCTGGACACGAGGGGCGGAAGAAAATTCGTGGAGCCTAGTATTTTTTGTCTGCACTTTTCTCTTCTTCTTATTCGTGTTTTTCGAAAATTTTGTGGCATTTTTCGGAATACGCAGTTGAGTTTCAGCCGGGGGTTAATCTTTGGCTACTGGCGGGGATTAGAGGTTAAAAAATAAGGCGATTTTCGGATATTCTTGATTATCATGCACGTTTTCTTTATTCCTACAACTTTTATAAATTCATTTTCTCACGTCCTCTTCCATAAAAGTGTCAAAAACAAGGCGGCGAAATTTCTTTTTAATACCAATTGTTCCTGGATGCCAAAATTCGGTCGATAAGCCGGTTGTGGCATCGACATTCCTTCCCCTTCCCCCTTGCGGAATCTTCGAAGAAAGCGCGCATTGAGTGGGCGGCGTGTTCGCGCATTCCAGCGTCGAGCGCTTCGCCGATCTCTCTGGTTTTCTCCACCTCCACTTTCTTCTCTGCCCCCGCTAACGCATCGCTTACACCGCATTCCAGCGTTCGTCGAGCTATTCTCTCTCCCCCATTTTCGTTTTCGGTATTAATTGAATTTTTTTCCCGAGTTCTCACTTTAAGACTGATTTTGCTGAACCCACTGGTCCGCCGGTCGCTACAACAAATCCTCGAGTTCTTTGACGGCTTCCTTTTGTCCAAATTCCTATTCAAATTTTATGTCTAATATTTGTGGGGGCCAGCGAGACGCTTGCAATTCCAGCCCGTAATGAGTTTTGCATAAAATTTGATCGTTTGCACTGTTTCGGCTCGTTGATTGTCTCATTTTCATAAAGAGGTGCGAATCCTCTTCCCGCTTTGATTGGTTCGGTTCGCAATTCACGTTTTTTCCAACTCTTCGTGACTCTCCGACGTGTCGTGTTGCGTGTCCCAGCCGCTTAAGACGGAGGATTAACGGGTTCTTGCGTTTTGTAGAGAATTGCGTTTCAATTCGAAGTGTGCACGTCGCTGATTTGGACAGAAAAAATCGCGACAACCTTCTCAAGCAGCAGCAGCAGCAGAGTTCGCAACGAGGACGCAAAAGCGAGGACGTGTGAGCACGGTGTGAGTGTTTCGTCCTTCCAGCCGCCCTTGCAACGACTCCCGGAACTGCAGCCCACCTTCCAACGACGAGCGCGAAGATTTGGTTCCCACTGGTCAACGCGCCCTTAGGCGGTGTTCTACCGCTTCTTCGCAGACAGTTTCGCAGGATGACGATAGGTCAACTGAATAGCCCAGAGCGAGACAGTAAGTTGGGGGGAGGGTTATTCCACTTTCCACTCTTGCCCTGAGGTCCCTGCTCAAACTGAAGAGGTAGACTGTAATCAGGCCCGTTACAGACATGGTTTGTAGCCAAATTGCGCTCTTTGGCTGGGTCACATTGCCAAAATTTCATGACGTTTTCGCAGCTGATGCGCTCGAAACATGAGACCCGCCTGTTTACCCAGCGGCTCTTCTACAAGGAGAGGAACTGTTGTCATGTTGTTCACAACAAAAACTAGTTCATTATACCTCCCAAAAACAGAAGAGTCGGCTGTCTGCCTCCTCCACTATCATTTTGAGCCCTTTGTTTTCTCAATCCCCGTGCTTATTAAACCCGCCGTCTGTTCGGTCGGCGGGCTTCAGAATTTTCGAAGATTAATTTTCCGAATACATATTTTCTGTTTTTAGTTCACGACTCGCATCTTTTCAAAAAAATGTACAAGCTCGGCCCCGAGATTGGCCGAGGTGGCTTCGGCGTCGTCTACGCCGGCTACCGCATCGAAGACAACTTCAGCGTGGCGATCAAGTACGTCGCCAAGCGCAACATCACCGAATGGACCACCTACGAGGGCCGCCGGATCCCGTTGGAGATCGCGCTGCTCGAGACGTGCAAGGATTGCCCCGGCGTGGTCCGAACAATCGACTGGTTCGAGCGACAGGACGGCTTCTTCGTGGTGATGGAGCGCCCCACACCGTTCTGCGACCTCTTCGACTTCATCTCGGACAGAGGCGCGTTGGACGAGCAGATCGCCAGAGCCCTCTTCAAGCAGGTCGTCGAGACGTCGATCGCGTGCGCCAACGCCAACGTTGTGCATCGAGACATCAAGGACGAGAACATCATCCTCGACATCAACAACGGAACAATCAAACTGATCGACTTTGGATCCGGCGCCTTCTTGAAGGGCGAGGAATTCACTGATTTCGAAGGTAGGTCGCTTTTTCCGACTTGAATTTAAACTTGCTGCCAATAGTGTCCCAAAATATAAAAGTAATCTTGAGATAGTAGCTGTTTCGTGACTTGCATTTTTCGGTAAAGGGTTTTTTCTCGCTCTCTCATTGTCCGGCATTTCCACGAAAATCCAGTTAATGAATTTGACAGCCGTCCGCCGACCGAATTTGTAATATTTTTTTACGAAGCCTGATGCATCCGTAGTGGCCGGAACGTGAAGTGCGGGTGGTCCGGCCGTGCCGTGTGTCCGCAATTAGGGCCTGACATTCGACGGCGGGGATTTTACGCCACCACTCGATGCGGGGGTTCCAGGACCGTAATCGGCAGAAATTCCGCTGATTCATGGGCGAAAAATGCCGCACGAAACCGATGGGGTTGGATTGAGAGTCCGTTTCTCAGTTCGCTAATGCCTTTTGCCGATGATTTACGATAAGCAAAATAAACGCGGGCGGCTGTCATTTTGCAATTGATAACGAAAGCGAATGGGATGACAGGTCCCCGCTCTTAGTGGAACCCAGACGCCCGGCTTCCATCCGCTCCGAAAACAACTATTAGTCAAGCATGTGGGCCTCGTAAATCCTCGGGGCCCGTTATGCAACGTTTTGCCAAGTCACCTGTTCTCATCCTCCCGGACCTCGGAGGATGTTTCCGGTTATATCGCATAAGGATGGGGCGACAAAAACACCTGGTTTTTTTTGCACTGACCGCAAAACGGGAGCAGCGAAAAAAGTTCGATGGAACGCGGAACGGTCGGGCGAGTAGAAAAAGCGTTTTGCACTTCCTCCGTGCGAAACTTGTGTTCGTAGAATAGCGCATTTCTTTTTGATCCCGATGATCCGCAGCTCTCGAAACAGCTTCCGAAACAATTAAGAGCACTTCCAAATTGATTACACTTCTCCAAAAAGTTTAGCTATTACGGCCTGAGAATGGGAGCTATTTTTATGCCCTTCCAAAGTCGGTTCGATCGGATTTTGGCGACACTGTCTCCGGAGGGATTAATTCCGGCCCCAATGAGGAACTCATTACTCCGTCCCCGCCGCTCTCACTGATCGTTCCCGGAAACAGATTTTCACGGGAATCGATGATAGATGGGGGCTCGGTTTTATGTGGATTAGCTCCAACCGTTATCGTTGTGTGTGGGCTCGGCGGGTTTTTATGGGATTCCGCCAGACCCATTTTCGCGGCTCGTCGAAAAAAATCTGAATGTGTTCTGCACACCGAGATCCCCGGCCGCCGGCTCCCTTTTCTTGACTCCCGCACCAACGGGGCGAGGTCAATTGGCGGAACGCCAACCACTTTCTCACAAGGAACTCTTCCATTGGGTGGTGTTCGGTGCGAGAAAAGTCGTAGTGGAGTGATGGAATGAGTCTGTGTGTGTGTGTGGAATGCGCGCGATGCCGGGTACGAGTTGGCGCCGCGACCTCGATCGCGGCGACGGATAAGCCGCCGCTCTCTCGGCGGTGGGTCGTTGCGCTCATCGGAACAAAAAAATAAGAAGCGCTCGCTCATTAGGCGACATTAACGACGCAGTGGGGTCCGCGAGCGAGCGCTCAGCTGGCGAGCGAATGGCGAACAGATGACGAGCGAAAATTAGAGAGCAATTTTAGCGACCCCAACGCTCGCGTTTGGTCCCTAAAAGCGAGTGCCTCGCAAAAGGGAGCGATTACATTCGGCCAGCGATTAGAGGCCCGGCATAGCAACAGAAGGCAGACAGGAAGCGAACCCCCTACCGGGGGCGCAGACTTTCACTCGCTTCGAGCGTTGGCACCATGCCACTTCGGTGTGTCCTTGCCCCCACTCCCTCAATTTTGGCGCCATTCCGGGGACAGCTGGCGAGTCGCGGCGGTGCGCTGACTGCCTCGACCTCAGAGCGAATCGTCTCGGTTTGCGCCCTCCGCGAACGGCACTCCTTCGACCCGGCTGCTGGTGCCGGGGCGTGTCGGTCTCGAAGTTCTTGCGGGCGAGAACGGACACAAAAAAAACAAGAGAAAAAATTGCCGTTCCGTCAGCGAAATTCACTCCGACTTTTTCGAGCGAGCAGTAAAAACACGGCCTCCAGAATTGGAACAACAACGGCGAGAAGTAAAACCCCCCAAGTCTGAGCTCCAAGTTCGGTTCCGACATTCGTCGGCGGGGAGCTTTGTTTTTCCAACGATTAGCGACCAAATTAGCTCCCGTAAAGCCTCCCCTAAAGGCCGGTGGGTTCTGTCTGCGTTTTTGTGAGCGATAAATTGAGTTTTGTGCGGGCAAAACAAACTACGGTATTGTTGGAATGTGCGAAAAACAACGTCGTCTCAGGGCATGGAGCCGAGTGCCGGACGCGGCGTAAATAGCCAACAGGCGAGTGTCTAAAAATACGCAAAAATGCAAAAAGCATGGGAACAGAAAGCATAAACAGGCCCAGACCGGCCGAAAACAAGTCCTAAAGATGCAAAAAAACTGTCAATCAAGCTTTGGAATCATGAATCATTTTGCAGGTACTCGCGTCTACGGCCCTCCCGAATGGATCAGCAAGCAGAGTTACGACGGCCTCGCGGCCTGTGTATGGTCGTTAGGGATCTTGTTGTATGATATGGTTGCTGGCGACATCCCCTTCCATCACGATCACGAAATTCTCGCTGGAATTTTAAAATGGAAGCGACGAATCAGCCTTGACTGCCAAGACCTCATTCAGCAGTGTCTTATGGTCGACCCTCAACAGCGGTGTTCGCTGGAAGAGATGCTTGACCATCCCTGGCTTCAAGGTGACGTGAAGAAACTTGGACGCGCCGAACTGTCCATGGCTAAGCGACCGATTCAAGGAGTCGAGGCTGTGAATCCCGACGAACAAGACATCGAGATCATGAAGTTGGCCAGCCTGAGCACCGGGCCATTCGACGAAGATGATGAGGAGTTTACGATTGAGTCGAGAACCAACGACTCGCATACCACCATCGTCCGCGAGCCATTTTTGCCGATTTTCGGTGGAAATGATCAAGAAGTACCGGCGGCCGCTGAAGCCTGGCGAGCACTCGCCACTACTGGCCGATTAGCCAACAACAACTCGAACCTACCGGACTGGCTGAACACTTGTCAGAACCGCACCGACGACCGCAACAACAACGCCGGCTTCGCGAGTCCGACGCCTAAGCCAATCAACCGCTACTTCCCTTATCAGGACTACTCGTCCCGCGGCAACAGTGATAACAACTTGCCCTCGGCGGTCTTGTATGAAGGAGCGCCGACGATTGCTTTGGAGCATCCCGGAACCTCGTCGTATGGGGATTGGGACGATGACAACGACCACCATGTTTATCATCACAAGAGCATGAGCTTTTATGGTAAGGAGAGTCTTATTCTGGAGTTTTTTGGTGGCTGATGGCTTGCTGATCGGATAGAAATTCGAATTTTTGCCCGTGATCTCATAACCAATATTTATAGAAGCCCGACCGACCGTCAGTGCCACCCAGACGAATGGCTGCGCCGAGCCGGTGGCGCGCAAGATCTCGAACAACCCGTTGGGGTCCTTTCAGGTCCCCAGCGGAGCCAAACTCGGGATCAGCATGCTGGGTATGGGGCGTCGTCCACAACATCACCGCTCCACCGGGCCGCGGACCGAGCTTCTCAAACAAGAAGCTCCGGCCTACTCCATGGTTCATATGAGCTACCCGCCCGACAACACCACGCTTCATTCGGCGTCCGTCAGCAAGCCGCAGTCCATCAACCGCGACGGCGAGCGCAAGGGAGCCGCCGACTCCGGCTTCTCGTCGGGGAGTTCGGGCTACGTTGTAGGCATTTCGTCGTCGCCGCCCGGCGGCGCCTTCATGCTAGGCAGCTACTGAAAGCCTTTCCTACGTCTTTTCGAGGGACCTCAGGCTATTGTAAATACACTTGTACATACACCTTCTTCATACTCCCCAATCTTTCTGCAGAGAAATAATCGCCTTACCAATAATTTCATCGCGAATTCATCCTCCAAAATTTCTCTAACTCTTCCTCCTCTTTGTAACATATCCCCCCGCAAGGAAGAAAAAAAAGTTTTATTTTTCTCGTTGTACTTACGTCTAGCTTAACACAGAGTTTTATCCGGCTACTACAAATTTACAGCTCCGTTCTTTTCGTCGTTTGCTCAAAACCCCCCGCCTCCCCCCAATTTTTTGGTTCAGAGTTTTATCGTAAATTCTTCGTGACTGATGACAAATCCTCAAGACAAAACAATTCTTGCATTCCGCACGATTCGTCCCCCACAGAATGGTAACATTTTTTTGTAAATCGAAATTCGTTTTTTTTGCTGAACATTAGCCCCCGTTACGAACCCAAATTGCATGAGCTTTTACCCCCCTCCCCCCGCCCCCAAAAAACAAATATTGTACATAGCGCCCGAAGAGGTGAATTCGAAAATATATTTATAAGTTATCGCTCCTCCGAAATGTCTACAAATCTGAATTTTGCTCAACCCACAAAGAAATCAAACTTGTACATAGTCGTCTTCGACCAGTAATATTGTTCACTCTGCAGAATATTTATTGACACCCCTCTCCTCGCATGTATTTATACAAAAAAACAAACACCTTGTACATAATCAGACTATCCAATCCCATTTTCGCTGAGGTTTTTTTGATTGTATGACTGAGAGAGAATCCTGAAAGTGCCTTTGCTCTGTTAAATGTACAGTCTTTTTTTTTCAACTTTCTCGAAAAAAGCTCTTGGCCTTGAGGCGAGTTTTGGGATATTTTGCATTTTTTGCTCTCCAAATTTGAAAATGATGACTATAACTTTTGCCCATCAAGTTTTAAAATTTCCAAAACCTCCCCTCAACTCCAAGGGCTCCGAATCCTAAGTCTAAGTTTCAATTCGTTCTTTCGAGCCCCCCAAATCCACACTTTTTCGCCTCAACTTTCCCTCCAGGTACTCCACCAACCCCCCACTCTTCTTTCGTCGATTGTAACCTCATCTGTCCGTGGATGGACAGGGTTTGTTCCCCGCAAAAAAAATTCTCTCTCTCTCCCTCCTCTCCCACTCTCCGAATTTTGAGTATTCCTCAACCGTTTGTATCCAAAGCTATGGTAACCATCAAGTCTTTTCAAAACAATTTGAAATCCAACTCAAAACAGAATCATGGTGATGTTTATCCTCTAAAAATGAATATTCGTTCTTTCTTTTTTTTCGCCGTTTTCGCAGTGTCCTCGCGACGTAGCGGGCTTTGCTTGCGTTTTTTTTGGGATTTTTCATTTTCCAACAACTTTTGCACAGTGCAAAATTTGAAAATTTAATTTTTCAAGTTTTGCCTCAATTAGTGACTAAATTCAAATGTTTTCAAAAAATCCCAAGACCTCCGCGAGGACATTGCTGTGTCTGCCCACAAGAGCTTCTAATAACCATTGTTGTACGCGTTTTTCGGTCCGAAAAACCGCCTCCCTCCCAAATCCTGTACAGGCTAATTGTATTATGTACATAATTGAAAGCAAAGTGATATTATTTAATGCAATGTATGTGTGTTGTAAATAATTATAATATTGTTCTCCTCAGTTCGAATTTATTTTTGTGAAACCATTGAAATAAAGACATTTCGAGAAATTTTCCATTCGGCTTCTTTTTGTTTTTTTTTGTAATATATTTTAATGAAAAAATGATGATTCCAAATGGAAATGATGTCAGAGTTAAGATAGGGGGCTCTGAATCACATAAAAATGAAAAGTTTTTGATAGGTAGTTGGATTAGTCATCTGGTTGATGATGTCTGGGCTGATGTGATTCGATGCTGAAGAATTTGATGAGAAAGAGATGAGGAATGATTGTTTATTGCGCGATCAGTGAAATCGCTGTGATTTTTGTCGGATTTAATGCGATTTTTGGTAAAATTTTGAATTGTAGATTTTCATCTTCCCTCGGATTGAAGCCTGAGGAATAACGAAGAAAATTGCGATTGAAATTTCAATTCCATTATATCAGTCTGTCGGGAAAATAATGAGCACTAGCCGGTCGTGTCGCAGAAGTGAAAAGCCATTTGATTTTCCGACGACACAATTCATTTTCTCGGCGGCGATGCGATTTTCGATGCGACAGAGTGCTCATTATTTTCCCGACAGACTGATACTACAAGTGAAATGTACAAGAATTTTAACAAAAAATGAAGCTTTTCCTATCAGAAATCGAACGCTTATAGACATAAAAATCATTTTTTGTCCATCCGATCTTCCTCATATTCTCCTTCAAAAAAATAATGTTGAATGTCCCTGCTCTTTCTGCGGAGCACTAGTCAGAAATTTCAGTAAGCGATAAATGGCATTGAGCGAATGAACATCAGTCTGTCGGGAAAATAATGAGCACAATGTCGCGTTCAAAATCTCATCAGAAAATGAATTGTGTCGCGGCAAAATCAAATTTCTTTTCGCTTCAGCGACGAGATCGGCGTAGCGACATTGTGCTCATTATTTTCCCGACAGATCGTTACGTAGGCAAGATATGAGGAAGTGATCTTCTTAAGGATTTGATTACTTCCTCTTGGAAAACTAACAGGTCTGCTACGGTATCCCATCATGCGACTTTCCTCCCCAAGTTTTTATAAATAGCCTCTAATTGATCACAATGGCATTTCCGGGTCATCAACTTGTTTTCTTCCTCTTTGTCGGGCAAAATAATATCCCATGCCGTTTGTTTTCCAACTTTTTCTACATTAATGTAGAGACAAATTTTTCCGTGATTAGTAGTAGTCTGTTTTTCTTTTTTTTCAAAAAAAAATTGAGAGAATGGAGGTCCGTAAAACAAGCCGGCTTCTCAAACAATTCGACTTATCATTCGCACAAAAAAAAAGATTAAAAGCCAAAAGAACGAAGGTGTACATGTGTAAAAGGTCATGTGTGCCTGGAGGGGCCAAAACAAAGTTGCGTAATTGCACGAGTGCTCCTGTTCATTCATGGTTGGCAAAAAAAAAGTGAAAAACAAGGCTTAAGGCTGTTGACAGTTTAAATTTAGACGGGCAGGCGGTCAGGCGTGAAGCAAACAGTAGAAAATGTTGCAATCGTATGTTTTGCTCAGTTTGGTGTAATGTCAGTCTATCGGAGGAAATCCATATTATTTTCCCGACAGACTTAAACTAAAATTCTTGATCTAGTCTCTTCTCAATAATCATGATGACACGGAGAAATCTTTTCGTATAAAACCAGAAATTTTGATGTTTGTTTTTTTTTTGATTTTTTTTTGTCAAAACTTTTATGTTTTTCGAAATTCTGGCTGGTAATTAGCTTTGAAAGCCCCAAAATTTAACCACAATCCAATTAACAGCCTTTGTGATTTGCCCGTGAATCGGCGAATCAGATGCAAATACAAACCAACGGAACACGAACTTTCCCTCGATTATGAACCTGCCACTAGTCCCAAAGTTCAACTGGTACCTGCCCCATGCCAACCCAACCCAGAAGGAAGAGCCGGACATGTTGTGGAGCCTCAAAAGCCTCCACAATTCCCACAGAAATTAGCATAAACCAAGTCATATAAAAGCGATGTCTCGTCACCAATTAGAAGAATTAATCCCATTTCTCTTTCTTGTGTGCGGTTGCAATAAAACTCTATTCTAACTTGTGTCTATCCATTACCTCTACCTATCTATAGTTGATCCTACACTTCATGGGGGCTGCGCTGGTGTAGGAAGATCCCGGAGAACCGTTTTGGATTGGAGCAATTACAGGTATTGTTCAATCGCATTTTTTGTTACCACTGGTACTAGCCACACCAGTGTCTGTCTTTAGCTTCATTATTAGTGGCTCGGTACGATCATCATCGTACAAATTGTGTGTTCTCTTTGTGTTAGGGCAGTAGTTCCCTCCGTGTTGTATATTTTCGGGTTAGATCCCCGCCTTTTCCTGGGTTAAATCCCCCTCATTCGGGTTAGATCCCCGCCTTTTATTGGGTTAGATCCCCACTTCTCTGGGAAATCCCCTCCATTCGGGTTAGATCCCCGCCTTTTTTTGGGTTACATCCCCACCTGTGTTTTGGGTTAGATCCCCACCTTTATCAGTGTTCCTCTTGGTGTTCCATCGTTAAATTTGTTTTCGTCATGGCGGATCCTCCAGACGCGTCTAACAATCAACCTCACCTTTCTCCGGCTTCCACCCTTTTGAACCCTGTCGATATCGCAGCAGCACCTCGATGTTCTTTAGAAGAGCACGCTCGGCATCGCGCCATCATCTCCGGTTTCCGTCCGTCCCCCGAGAACAACCGGCAGATTGCGACCTTATTCGCAGCATTTGTCAACAATCCAAGTACCTATCGAGAGATTAAAGCCGTGTGCCGCACTATCTACACCTTGATCACCTTCGACTTCGCTCGTATACTCAGTCGTTTAGAAAATCCGTTGATTCGCCTGACCGACCTCTCGGATATTCCATCGTTTACCCTGAAGCTGTTCAGTGAGATATTGGAGTCCCTAAAGACTGTTGAAAGCGACTTCCGGACTGCATTGTACGATCTAGAGGATCTAGAACTTTCTCACCAGGTCCCCTCCGCCACTGCTCAACTCTATGTCAATTCTTTGTCGTGTTCTTTGGTCAGTGAGATGCTCGGTTATTGGATCGAGAGTTCCATGGACGCTATCCAACGATGTCAAGAAGCATGTGCTCGGGTTGAATTTCTGAATAGTCCGTCCAGATCTAGTGTTCTCCCTTCTCCTCAATTAGGTAACTTGAATCCGGTATCCTCGTCTCCAGTGTCCCCTCGATCCAGTTTCCTCGATCTCCATAAGATTCGGATAAACAAATTTTCTGGTAAACATGAGGAATTTTCCCAGTTTTTCGGCGTTTTGACGAATGCCTTGGATAGTAATCCTCACTACTCGGAAATGAGCA